GTCATCTCTACTGAGCATTCATTTTTCAATTCGACTCATTCTGTTCAAAAGTCAGAGAGTCATACATCACTGTAGATCAGGAAAAAACTGATTATAACATATATTATTTTTTCTACTCACATATAAGTGAAATGGCATTTAGCGTACGAACATTCACCACGCTAAATGATCGATTAATCACGGATTGACGATCTGTGATTTATTCAGAATATCAAACACGTTACCATGGCAACACGATTTCTTAAACACATTATCATGGCAACACAGTTCATTAAACACAGCTTCAGTAATTTGAGACATGTCTGGCCTGTCAATTGTAATAACTGTCAACTGTTATTATCGAATTTTGTATAAGAATTATTCAAACAATATCCGCTTGTATCAGAATTCTTCATTCAAAATATATGCGAGATGTAGACGAAAGTGAAATCTAAGAGAATGTCCTGGTACTTGCATATCTCCAAGAAGTGTAAAAATGAAGCATCCATCTTTGAGAACAATTCATTTATTCAGCGCTAAGCATGACAATAAACGTGAAACAATGGTTTGCAAGCAATGGACTGGACACATCCAAAACCAATATCACTTATACGTGTCTCGCTGGTTGCATGCAGTAGCATGTATTATGTTTTCAATTCCCATTCATTTCGAATTATTCTGTAGGTCACCTGGAATAGCAGGTATGTTGATGAAAATCACATTTTTCGGAGTTCGTAGAGAAATACATAGTATGTAACGCGTTTATAAACTCTTCTAGATACTCGTTTATTACACACTCGCTCCGCTCTGCTCCGTTCCTGCTTAAAATACTCGTTACTGAAAGGACGTTCATAACACTCGATACATAATATACTAATGCATGGTGACATAAAAAAAAAAAATAGTATCAGAGCCTATAGACATAATTTTATAAATTCCATTCCCTCTTTTCATATAAGAAGTAGAGGAAAGGATATGTACAGACTTTTTCTGGTATCCAGTATACCTACATCTCACATCATGATCAACAACAAACACATTACATCAATTATTATTGAGAGCAAAATATAATGTTTTCCTGAAGCAGCACTATTTTCATCAGGGCTAAATCTCCATATTTTGGTGTTTACTATCTGTAGTTCAGAGATTGATCATTCTCAATCAATCACACATTATAAAAGCTTCACGAACTCTCGCACTATCATAATACATCAATATACAAATCACACAGTACTTGGAAAATCATCAAAAACAACTGAAATGACAAATGACATTTCTCACTTGCTCATTGCTTGTCTACTAGAGAAATTTCATCTGGAAATAATTCATATGCTTGATTTTGTTGCTTAATCTGAACAATCGATAAGATTATTATTATCAAACATAATATTCAATCTGAAAAATCCTAACTAATTGATAATTCAGCAGCAGTTCCAAGAAGGTATATTCCGCAAAGAAAACAACCGAAATAAACCTCATATCTTTAGCTAGTTATACTGAGGAATAACCATCTGTTCTAAGTATTCCGACTGGATAGCAAACAATCCTTCGTTTTAGTAATTTCACGCTTTATTGTGGGATTACAGAAATTAAAACGTTCAATTAATCTACCCAGTGATTCACCGAGTTCGTTCCGAAATGTTATTTTGTATAAAACAATCGCCAGCAAGATAATCATTAGCCATTCCCTACAGTTGCTCCTTGAATTCGGTAATTCTGCAATTTGGCTGCAGATTCAATGGCGAATCGTTTTACCTAATTACTTCCAAGAAATCGAGATTTCCTTATAATATCGGCATTTACGCCGAGCATATTCTGAATACAGAGCTGAATGTTCACTTTTAATTAACTTAATTAAAACTGAGATGATAGCGGTTGCTGAACAATAGACTGGATTAGATTGAAATGTGCGCTGTTCAAATTTGAAGCTCGATGTTTCTTTGAAAAATTATGGGACAAATGTACTTAATAAAAGATGAGAATTGATTGTTCCAATTCCAGAAATTCAATCATCGAATACTCAGTTTCCGTTCTGAAAACAACGATGGTATATATAATAAACAATGGTAGCGTGTATCAGTCAATTAGGGATTTGAAGTTAACATCTGATTCAATCAAATGGTTTCTAAGAGACAGGGTATTTTTATTCTTCAATTAATGAAGAACTGCTTGATAACAATATACCAGTGAACCACGCGGATTGAAGAGATCAATATATTTTTGTTTTGCTCATAAGACGAAAGCCATCACAATAATATCCATTGAGAATACGGAAGATCTGAAAAAAAAAAACCTCTTGTTGAATTTATATCGGATGCACCATCACCGAATAGAAACGAAAAGTGTTTCATCTTTTGGATAGTGCCCTCAGGATGATGTGAAAATCCCATTGAGATTACTTGACAAACATAATAAGTATAAGTAATTGAAAAATGTCGAGAATATTCCTCTCATCTCAATTGAGTATTGAGATTTAATATCGATCTGTTCCAGGAGATCCTCAGGAGAAGATATTCTGGCTGGAGATATATTTAGTAAGTACTTCACGGAAGTACAGTATTTTATACAGGATGTTGCGAAATTCAATCGACAACGCTCGACAGGTGATAGCTCTTGTGATTTTTTAATTACCATGATTGAACCATTGCAAGTGTTGAGTCATCGAAATACAGTGTGTTGAAGTTGAGAAATATAGGGTGTTGAAGTTGAGGAATACAGGGTATTGAAGTTGATAAATGAAAATGGTTTCGTCACAATAACAAAAGAATGGTTGACTATTTCACATTCCAATTCGATATGTCCCAGTAAATACACCCACGTCGAAATAACGTAGTGAAATTACAATGGTTGGTTAATATGGAATCTCTTAATCACGTTAAATCAACGCAAAAATGTCGCTAACAAAGACGTTGTTCTCAACCAGTACACAAACGTTTTCTCAACTACAGATTTCAACATAAATAACCGTCTGAAACCTCTGGAAACTGCTCGATTCTCAACCAAATTCTTCACGAGGAATGAACTTGACATGTCATATATGTTCAAATAACCATAATCAAATGTTGAAAATTCAATTGATAAAATGAGATTTTTCAATGTTTTCGTCGAATTTTCGGGTTTTCTAACGTTACCTCAACGTTTTAGCCAAATAATTTTCCGTTATTTCTGTATCTACTTATATGTTATCATCATTTTCATATTATTTGTTGAAATATTATTATAACCTACCTACCTGATATGTTGCCCAGGTATTTCCTTCTCTCATCTGTTCCACATTCTTCCTAGTAAGGTGCCTAAATGTCTAATACTTAAACTCTTGATACGAGCGTCGGCGAGATGTAAACGGAATGAATACACGTTGTCGAATAACGATAAACTAGTGTAGTTGAAACTAACTTATTCCATGGTTTTTTCCTTTCAACGGTTATTAAATGCTCTCAAGAAAACGTTCGAGTTATGTTCATTTCAAGAGTATAGTGAATGTTTCGAATAAACGTCAGTTCACCGTGAGGACATTCCCGGATCAATGGAAAGTAGTTCTGTATCTACGTAAAATACACGTTTTCAAATGACGGTTATATCTACAAGAGTTGATGTTATTTCATGGGGAACTGATTGACACATGATTTCGAAAACGTGTTTCTGAGTTCTACGTTTTTTTACAATAGATATGACAAGAGATTCATCTATCAAACATACGCCATTGTCATGTAAATCCAAATTCTTAGTGGAATCAGAAAATTTCATCTGCTCTCACCGTCGAATAGCTTATATAAGCTATAAGCTTCCACAAATTTTAATTTGCGAATGTATCGTTTACAAGAATTGGCAGTTTCTGAATTTTCTTCAATATTCAATACGGAATTGTCTTCAACAAAAATAGAGTGGTTGTGATAACTCATATATATTTTTTGGCTATTTGGAGGTTACAGAGAAATGGAATAAAAAATCCAAATCAATAATAGTTCATGGTTCCTGACAGCCGGAATGTCAGATTTCGGATTAGAGAACCTCAACGTTTTCTTCTATCTCTTAAAGCACACGGAAGGAAATTTCTATAATGTTCGTGGAACATTGCACCCAGGGAGAATAGAGAGAAGAGGTTTAGGTGTAGACATTTTTTCGATAATTTGGAGATTATAACTTCTTGGGATTCCTTTGGCTATAGGAATTCCATAGCTTTGCCGATCTATAGACGAACGAATCTTGGTAGAGTGTTGTTCGACATTTTTCAAAGTTAACGACGAAAGGATGTGCTGACTGGGCCTGTCGAGTTCGTCTAACTGGTATTGCTAGTGATGGAATTATAGCAGAGATTTCTGAAGAACATTTCTCGTGGAAGTATCTATAGAAAAGTGAAAGGTCGCCGACTATTGTACGGTGTTCCAAAGTATCACTTATGTCGATTATCAATTTTTTTCTCGGATACCAATCTCAGTAAATATTCGGAATTTCTCAAGTTTCAAAACATTTTATTTTGTCAGGCATTACATTGCCCAAATTTGCCATGATTCAATCGACACTCCGGTATCTTTTACTGTTTACGAGATCCCGATAATAATTATAGACATTTTTAATGATCTTCGAGATTATCAGTACACGATCAAACAACGTATCATGGATCTGAATACATTAGATCTATGAACGTTTCAAGTAAACCAAAAGTTATGAATATATGAATTTCAAACGGAAAATACTCGTCATTCCAGCTCAAGCATGCACAGGAACAAGTACATTGTTAAATTCTCCGGCCATTTCCAGAATCAAGGTCAGGTATGAGGATTTGTGTTTGGCATCAAGTCTAATATGAACGTATCAATTAAACCAAAAGTTATAAATTTATGAATTTCAAACGGACAATACTCGTCGTTCCAACTCAAGCATGCACAGGAACAAGTATATTTTAGAATTTTCCGGTCATTTCTAGAATCAACGTCAGGTATGAGGCTGTGTGTTTGGAATCTAGTCTAATTGGATCTTTTGGGTCGACGTACTTATATTGAGCATCAAAAGCGACTTACGTTGTGCTTCCAGAGTACTTTGTATGCCCAAGGGTTGGCGTTCACTTTGCATTCAAAGTAAACATCATCGCCTTCCTCGATGTCCTCGGGATTCAGGTTAGAGCCGAGAGACAGGTGCAGAATGGGCACATCTGAAAAACACAAAAGCTTTCAATCCTCTTTGCCGCAGATTATCTCGCATTTTACGCACGATCCGTGGCCCGTGGACCGATTTTATATGGCTGTTTACCAATGTATCATTCTCACAATCGAAAACTCCAGATTTCGATAGTGGATTTTCATGTCGACGACAGAATTTGCTATTGCGAAATGGAAGCAGGGTATTTGCTCGATTATTTTCTTTGAATGATTTTAAACCAATCAGAACGTTCGATTGAGTGAGGCTACCTGGTATAATTTCGATTATACGTGGTGATTATACATAGAGTAAATAATTATTTCCATTTCCATAGTAACCAATTTATATTGTTAGATACAAACAAAGCGCGTCGTGAATTTTGACGTTATTATTAATTTATATTAATCCTAGTCAAAAAATGAATCGATTCGGAGCTTTATTATTGGAAGTGATAGACGAGTGTGTTCAAAACAATGAGCCTCATAATACAGTGAAAACAAAAGAGTACGTATGGAAACAGTTCCTCACTTGTAGTGAGAGGAATTACGTACTGAATGAATCGATTCCTACTGAAATGATAGCAACTCTTTCGAAAGATTGGGCTTTCAAATGTAATGTTTGTTGAGGGATATTCTTGAATCCTGTTGTGTTTTTGAATTGCAGCTTTTTCTTGGGGTTTGGATTCGGTTTCATAAATAATTCGAGGATTAAGTAGAAAAAAACGTTTCGCCCATGGCCATGGGCTTTGTCAATTTATTAAAATTTTTTGGCACTCAACCAATTCATGATTCACAGCGATTGTGGTACTTTTGTGAATATTTTTGCATTTAAACATAAAAAAAACTAACAATATGTTTAAATAAAAATATATTCACAAAAGTACCATAATCGCTGTGAATCACGAAGTGGTTGAGTGCCAAAAAATTTTAATAAATTGACAAAGCCCATGGTCATGGGCGAAACTTTTTTTTTACTTAATCCTCGAATTATTTATGAAACCGAATCCAAACCCCAAGAAAAAGCTGCAATTCAAATGTAATAGAGAGAATTATAAAGAAAATGTTGTGAAAACCATATGTAACGTTACGGCAAAACAAATCCAAGAAGAATATATGAAGGATTTCAATAGAGCAATTGACCCTTTTTTCAGTCCAATATTTGTGGAGGCACGAAAAGCGAGAAATTCAAAAAGAAGGGAGCTCCAATCCTTACCGGATAAGAGGAAGATCAATGCATCAGCATTCAGAGACAATGAGTATGAAGCAAAGATAAGAGCTTGGGATGAAAATGAACCAAATTCTAGAACAATTTTGGGAATTGTGCAGAGTTTGCGTAAAAAGAAATGTTCTAAAATGAAAAATGGAGATGGTGTCCGACCAAATCGTTCGAGGCCTTCTGAAATAATATTACTGAGGAATTTACCTGTTCATATCATTTCACTATTGAAACTCAAATATCTTACAGCATGATCCTCTAACTTCATATGCATGAGAAATGTTGAACTTTTGTTTGATTCAAAACATCTATTCAGATTCGTGATGTATACAGGGTGATTCATTAAGAATAGACAGTATTTGAACTACAGAAAGTGAACATCAAACAATGCAGATTCAGTTATCCAGAAGTACTATTATTATTATTATTATTATTATTATTATTATTATTATTTTAGTTCATATAATTCCAGTCATGACCCTGCGGCCTCCGACGTCACGCAGAGTCGTGCTGGATAAAATCCAGTGACTACTCCTCACTGCCTGTGAGGTGAGTAATCACTGGGACCAAGTACCGTGTGCCCTGAGTAGACGCAATGATCCCAGTATGACGGCCTTCTGCATTCCACTAGCCAGGATGTGTGCCTTATCACGGCACGCTGGGATTTTCTGGATCTCCGAGAGCAGCGTGTGTCGTGTGCCTCCTAGGGAGCCGATAATCAGGATGACCAATTCCACAGAATGGTCTGGATAGAGCCGGCGGAGTTCGAAGAGAAGATCTCGATATTTAGTCCGTTTTTCCTCCTCCTTCAAAACGATGTTCGGTTCGGCTGGCGCCGAAAACTCGATCACGAACATCGTTTTGGTTTGATGGTCCAGGAGGACTACATCAGGCTTGTTAGCTTGAATTTGCCTGAGGGTGGGGAATGAGAAGTTCCAATAAATTCGGCACCTCTCATTCTCCACAACGGACTCAATATCCCCCGGAGCATAGGGCAGCACTGGGGTCTCGTCTATTCCGTACGAGTGCCTCAAATAGTAGTAGAGCACTCGCAATGCCGCATTGTGTCTATGGATATAGGCCGAGACTGCATACACCGTGCAAGAAGACAGCAGGTGCATAATTGTCTCGGGCGCCCTGCGGCAGGCCCTGCAACTTGTGTCAGGGACCTCCATACCCATGACACGGCTACGGTAGACGAGAGTGTTAAAAACCCCATCCTGGCATGCCATGATCAACCCCTCTGTTTCCGATTTGAGCCCGCCTGACTTCAGAAAAGCAAAAGTCAGTTATTTTTTTCATTATTATTATTATTATTATTATTATTATTATTATTATTATTATTATTCAGATATGTAATGAAAATATTGTTTATCTTCTCGTTATAACTCTTATCTTTTCCTTTTCTTCTTGTTTTTTTCCTTTCTCTTCTTCTGAAAATCAAATAGGAAGGTGACATTTTTGTTTGCATTCCTTATAGCTGATGTCAAATGATACTCACATTATTATTTCATCATTGCAATATTGTTATTCATCAATTGTATATGTTGTAAAATTTTCATATTTTTATATAGGGTTAAAGTTTTTTTCAAGATGTTCAAATTTACTAGGTCATAATACCCACGAACTAATCATAGGATTTCAGTGAGCTTGTCGACTGTTTATTTTCAAAATTTATATTTGAGAATTATTATTATTATTATTATCATTATCATTATTATTATTATTTTTATAATATGTGAAAATAAAATATTTTGAGTTTATGCGCCTTCTATAGTGATTAATTTCACTTTCTACTGCTCTGTACTGTAACCGCACTTCATGGAGAAACCAAGTACGTGTACTAGAACTTTCCCAGTGCTAAAACATCTGTAAATCGGCTAGTGAAAAACGCTATAAAAGTTTTTTATTCATTTCTCTCAATTCCACTTCGTTTCTAAGGCTACAAATTCTTCGCGCTCTCCATCGTTCATTTGCCATTATGAAATCTTGATGAAAAAGACTCGTAGCATCCCAGAATACGAGGAAGGCGTGCCTAATGACAAAGAAAGAAGAGAAAGGAACGAAGAACCCTTTGAGAAATCTCATAATTAACAATGTAACGCTTTTTATATTCATTGAAAGAACTTACAGAAAACGTTCAATTTCACGGTGTGTTCTTCGACGCCGTTCTGAACCAGGTGATTAGACGCTCTGCACGTGAGCGATCGTCCGCTGTCTAGTCGCGTCGGGATGAATGAGATCGTCGAGATGGTTGAGTTGCCATCCGAGGCGTCCTGAAAAGAAAAGATTGAACGTAAGGCATGACAATAACAATGGTGTATGGTTTTTATTCTCAGACACTTCCTTGTATACAGGGTGGGTCACGGTCGATGGCACATTAGACGTTTACGGAGAACGGGGCATGAGATCATTCTGAAAATTTGGTTACTCAAGTGATTACTCTTGATCTATCGATCTTCAATATTTTCAGCAATGCAGCGTTGTTATTTCGAATGGGAATCCCTGTATATTACCGCATTTTTGAACTTGAAATAATCACTTTCTGATTATTTCTGCCACATACTATCCTGTACCTATCTCTAACGGTTTTTGGGATAGTGATTATTTTGCATATTTTGTATCCAAAACATTGCTCGAATTGGATATATTTATTTCTGCGGTATTTGGATTCTTAGGAAGTTTCAATTCTGTGTAGTTCATCGAGATCATGTTCATCGATTCTGTAGAGAAAAGTTTGTTCTGCTTATACAGGGTCGTTCAAAATTCAAGATCTCACTGCTAGATACGAAAAGGGTTGAAAGTGTGTTTTTTGGAATTGAACATCCTGTATATTATGTAATATTCTGAAAAATGTCTGAATTTCCTTCGAATTGATACATCATGGTCCAATACCTAGATAGCCAGAATTCCGAGATAGGACCAAATTCCTAGAAACATCGACTTATTTTTGTCATTTTTACCTAAGGTTGAATGTCATGATGGTACATGGCATCATGAGAATTTCACAGCTAGTGCATTAGTGATTGTACCTTTTTGTGTTTCTCAACGCAAGGGACTCAAATTGCTGATAAATCAAGAGTAATTACTTGAGTAACCAAATTTTCAGAATGATCTTATGTCCCGTTCTCCTTAAACGTCTGAGGTGCCATCGATCGTGACCAACCCTGTATAGTGAGATCGCGTAGATTAGAACAAATCTATTTGTAATTCACACTGAGGAAAAAAAAACTCATTGAGTTGATGATTGTTATGTTAGTTATAATAATAGCGCCAACGGCTAGTTGCCATAAATAGAGACGTTTTATTGGGGGTATATCAATTATTATAACCACATTGCTCTTCTTGTAATGACAATAATGTTTAAACCTATGATGATCAACGCAGACGAGTAAATTTCGATCATATCACCTCAACTTGTTATCAGATGAATTCAATAGGTCAAATGTCGTATAATTAACGATCGTTGACGAAGATGTCTCGAGTTCAAACGAACAAGTTTCCAGCAAATTGACACACTTCTTGTGCACCTCGGTACAGTTATTAGAATCATGTCGGTCCAGTCTGTCTGTAAACACGTTTGTCGTGCATATCCATTGTTAAATACGGTTGTGAGTTCTGATTCTGAGTTGAGATCAAGTGAGGTTTTGAAAAACTAATGGTTAGCATTGTGCAATTACTAGGATTGACCAAGACATTGGGGAGTGATATTTTGATTCGACATATTGGAGTTATGTTCAATTTTCAGTAGTGAATACCATGTTCTATCCATATCAACTGAACAGGAAGCAATGCTTCTCGATTGACCTACAGACAGTATTCAATGAGTTCTCACCTATTATATTCTGTCGTCATCATGCACTATAATTGAATCAACTTGGAATTATCTCAATTTATCAGTGGTGAGGATGTATCAGATGATTTGTCCCAAAATGTCAGTCACCTCAAATATCATTAATAGAAAGATAAATCATACCTCATTTGAGAAATATGCAAAGAAAAATAATATGAATATATTGTGAGAATATTATCATTATATGTTGATAACGTGAGCAGAATTCATTTCGAAATTTCCGAAGATGGGGTGGAATTTTGAATTCCATCAATTATCCAAACCCCCTCCTCCATTCTTTTTCAAACATGGTGTCTCTGACCATCGATCAAATTTCTCCTTCCTTGCATCAGGTTTCTCATATTGATATTTTGCACGTAGTGGTATTCTGGGACAATTCATCTGATTTTTCCTTTCTTCAAATAAATCGAAATACCACCTTTATTTCCATTAATAGAGACGAGGGTATACATCCACAAACAAATTTTGAGAAATGGATATCTCACATCCTCGATTCAATAGAAGAACAGTCATCCTAGAAATCTTACCGATTGTGATGCGTTATATTTGGGTGCTTGCATCTCCTTCCCGTCCAGAAGCCAAGTTATTTTTGCAGGAGGTCTGGAGCCATAGGTCTGGCACGGCAGCTCGTACCTCCTTTCTGCCGAGAAGGGATTATTGCTGGATAGTATCTCAACCGATAAAGGGCGAACTGGAACAAAAAGAAACTTTATTCCATATGTGCTCGCTTCAAACACAAAATTGGTTAGATAACATTCGGATTGAAAAATATATTATGTTTCAACTTCAGTCAATGTAGATTCACTGCCTTAGCTCAATACCTAGTCTCGTTACGCTCGGATCTAGCAAATATGCAGATTCCTGCAGTCACGACAATGTATCTCATGTAAATTCAATAATAACCTGATTGCAATGATTATGTTGGATGACTCATCAATGTTCTTGTAATGTACGTTATAGTGGAACATAAACATTGCGCAGATAACAGCAATTATTATTTCTTCGAACTAAGAAACTCAAGAGGAGTTTCAAGAGGTTTTTGAATAATTTTTCATCAGTGCCTAGTCTTATAGTTATTTCTATTCCATTCATTCAATATATAATTGTTGTATGCGGTGAAAAATTTGTTGGGGTGAAGTACCTATATGAGTTGTTTCATTCTCAATGAATAGGTGATTCGAAGAAAATGAGTAATAAATAGTAGATTGTTTTATTAGGATCAAAAGTGACACTCTGTTTGACAAGCGAATTTTGCATTTTCGAGGCGGACCGTTTAGGTTAGTGAGCATATCAACCCCATGATAATAGTGATTATTTATTCCTCTCCATACTACACTGTGTTTGATCTGATAATCAAATGAATAAGCCAATATCGTTGTTTGAGACTAAAACTATTGCTTGCCGTGATTATTCAAAAACAAGTTATCCATCCCGAGAATACCGAATGAAATACAGATCAAGCAAGTATTTGAATCTTGAAGGCTTCCCTGATCAAAACAAAAATACTCCACCGAGATGTTTATAATTCCAATACTTAACTATAATAAGGTGTATTTATATCTCCAGCATGGGTATGAAATGCCAAATCTGCTGAAATCGGAAACAAATCAGGTATGCGTCTCAACCCGAATAACCAACCTTCACAATGCTGTTTATTCTTGATGACGTCCAGTACATCCTCTTTAGTTCCTAGGAGCTAAAGTTGAACTTTAGCTCCTAGGAACTAAAATTCAACTTTAGCTCCTAGGAACTAAAATTCAACTTTAGCTCCTAGGAACTAAATATGTTGCCTAGACATACCTATTTTTGTGTCAGTAATAGAAACGTCAATTTGAGAGCTAATTTTGGTATAAAAATGGACGACTTTTGTGTCGGTTGCAGAAAAAAATTACTATGTGTATGTATGAACATATAACAAAAACAAAGAACTCAACACTAATTCTCTTATAATCTCAGAATGTCGAACTAATAAAGAAAGCAGATCCATATTAGAATTTTTCATCCTCAATTGTTTGAACTCGACGCTAATCTTTTATTCTGAAGGAATATTTTTTTAACGATATAAAGAAGTTTTCATATCGATTGATGCGAACTGGAATATAACGAATATTCCTTGAGTAGAGAGATAGGTGGTTGGTTTCACATATTGAATATGATTCATTCAATCTCAGTCTCAAACTTTCTGTGATGAATGCAAATAGTAATATAATATCATCTACACTCCGTTTCATTATCTCTATACTTCAGGAGAACGTCTCCATGTTATACAGTTATCCATCAAAAAGTAGCAACAACTAAATAGAATACCCTGTATTTCATAGCATGTTCGGATTCTTTCTGAATAGCTTATTTCATTTCATTTCAAGACTTGGGGACTATCGGAAATGATTACAGAGATATAGGGTGTTCAAAATCGAGATTTGTCAATTTTAGGATTTGTTTGTGTCGCAACTATTCATCATCGGTCAAAACGGCTCACATGTCCCTATCTCAACTTTCGATCTACTCATCACTGATATTTTATTGAAACAGATACAGGTTGATCAGAATATTCTGAATCTTCATAACTACGCCCTGTATCTGTTCCGATTAAATATCAGTGAATAGTGGATCACAAGTTGATATCATGACATGTGAGCCGTTTTGACCGATAATGAATAGTTTTGACACAAAAAAATCCTGAGGTTGAAAAATCTCGATTTTGAACACCCTATATCCCTGTTATAGTTTTCGATGGACCCCAAGTGTGATACACCGAAAAAGTCAGCTCTTCTGGGAGAATCTGAGAATGTGATGGAATACAGTTTTTTTTTTGAAATATCAATGTTGCTACTACTTTCTAGTAGAAGCGGCAATACTGCATTGCCGAAAATATTTCAAATGAAGAGAGCGTATATTCTCAAAGAATGCACATTCTCATGGATATTTTCTGACTGATTATTGATATAAAAATAGTGTAAGTTCGTCGTGACATACCCTGTAAACCAGTGCGTTTTCATTAGTGGCTAGATGTGTATTTACTTCTAAATCTTGGTTCTGGTGATTTCTTCATCATTCGGCATCTTATATGTGAGAATGACAAAAAAAAAATGGTATTTATCAAATGATAATAGAAAATATTGATATTAAGTCGGCGAGATTACATTTTCACTGCTTCAGTTCAATGGAAATCAACATATTATTTTATTTTCAGGCCTAGATTTGGAAATCCAATTTTTTTGTGGAGGATAATAATCACCTTGTAGATTTATCTCGAATCAGTAGATGAAGTATCTGTGAAAATTTTGATAGACATCGCTATAAATAATAATGATAAATAATAATAAATAAGATATTTATTGAGGAAAGTATAGTATACATACCTATATACAGGCTGATTCACGGTGGATGGCACATTAGACGATTCTGGTGAACCAGACAACG